TCCACCAGCGACAGTATGTAGCACCCAAGGTCGAGGAGCTTGGCGATGACGAGTAAAATGGGTTGCTGGGAGCGGATGAGCGGACGTCCCGGTGTCGGCGTTGGATGGTTGTCTTCGGAAAATACAACGGGAACCACTAGTCCTCCCTGGTTTTCTTTACTTTTTCCCTTTTCCCTTGTTTTCCTTCTTCTCTTTTCTCTTCTTCATCTGTGTTCTTTCCCCCCATCCCCTTTTGGTGACCTCTGGTGGATCGTGAGCATTAAAACTGTGCCGTAAAAAAAAAAAATACAAACATTGGGATTATTGAGAAAAAGAAAAAAAGTGATATTTTTTGTTTGGGCGAAACTAGTACAAGAACCTCGTGACGCTACTTGCCCATCCCAAGGCTCTGGTCATTTCTCGGAAAACTCCATCCCAGCTAACACGTGTGGCTTTTTTCACAGGTCTGCCCAGTTATGGCTAGCCTTGCGTTGGTACAGCTGAAATGGTTCGATTTTAATCTACATGTCAATTACGGACTCTGATCTGTAGTTTCTCACCGTCCGCGCGCGAATCCGCTGCGCCGCGCAAGCTTGCCCAAGTTATCCCGCGTGGCGGGCGGTCTCGACCCAATGGCTCTGCCGCCAAAGACGGAGAGGCTTGCGGCAAACAATAAAATATTACCGGTGAGCTGGTTGAGGGCTGGGCCAGCGTCCGGGGAACACGTGCGTGTTGGCTGGCCCTCGATTTACGTTAATCTCGGGACCGCCACAGCTGAATGACGAATGGTGGCTTCCCCAAAACGGTTGCTCGGGCTCTGTCAGATACGTACTAAAGAGAAGTGTCGGAGACGGTCTTGGGACCCTAATCCGGACGCCGTTGAGCGGGATGGGATGATGCCAATCGGACGGTTTGTGTCAGTGTTTCAAACAGGCCCTTGGTAGCTGGGAAACTGGCGGCTTAGGAGGACGCGAAATCAGCATCAAGTGGGATCCGATCGGAAGGACAGGGGAATTGCCGAAACAAGCGAACGATAGAGAGCACTAAAGGGGCCCTAAAGCAGGTGACTGCGAACTCAAACAGCCTCCGTCAGGAACGTGGAGAAGCGTGCGGCGGGTTCGAGTCCAGATGGGCAAGTTGCCCGTCCCTCCTAGTCACAACGGGGCCCTCGTCGGCCTGTCCGTTAGGTCCTCTGACTCGCTCGTCGATAGGCTCACCACCCGCCCTCACCGGAGTTGTCGGACGGCCCCTGGGGTGCCATTGGCGGTGCTAGTCGTAGTCTTGCAAAGTGGCTTGAGGCATATTGGCGGCTATCCCTCGTGGTTAATTCTCTTAGTGTCGGTTCTTATCCCTTTTTCATTAGTTCCTCCGGTGGAACCATCTCCGCCAAAGCAACGATCGGTACTAGTGAGAGGAGGATCACGGCTAACCTCAAGTCTGGGCTGGATGCTGGCTTCCGTACACACCCACAATCATTGGCGTGCACCGGCCGCATCTACACCAAGTTATAGGTGCATCTGGGAATGAGGGAAATAGGGGAGCGGAAGAATTACTTATAACGCTGAGGATATGCTTGGAAGTAATCCTGTTTCATCTCAAGCTGAGGAGCATCTAACTTATTTCGGAAATGTCCTCATCTCGGGTATCGATTCTTCATCTTCGTGTTTCACACAATATACCCAAGGGTTATTCTGGTATGGGTTCTCCTCTAGGCTGGATTGGTGGGTTGGGACTAATCGGCTGTCTAGGTTGGGGCGGAAATCGGCCCTGCTTTGAGGAACCAGTGGTTATGCTACGTTGAAGGTGGTCAGAACTGACTGTGGAGCTGGTTTGAATGCCACCCAAGTGGGCTTTAGTTTGCCTCCTCGCCTGCCACTGTTATAAGTTCGAACACCCTGTATGCGTACTGGAGACTGTGGGCTGCCCAGGGTTGGACAGTCTCGGTGAGCAGCTGCCGGTACTACAAGGTCGACTACCGCGATGAATGAACTAATTCTCTGTCCCAAGTCGCGAATCGTGTATCGATGAGTTGCTTGGATCCACCTCCGTGCTGCTTCTCTGCTCATATCAGTGGTCTCTCGGTATGAAAGGCCTGACTATGATGGTTTCCAAACAACAATTGCTGGACCACAAGCAGAAGTCTCTTGGAAGGCGATGTCTAGGCCGAGATCAGCGGTCGTGAACCTGGTCAAGGACCAGAGCGACACCAGTCATTTCATGAACTAGCTTGCTTATGGGCGTCTCAACACAGGCCAGATCGGCAATATGTCGTGTCTGGGTGTGTTTTGGGAGATGTCATCAGGAGCAACATGAAGAAAGGGGTATGATCACTCACTCCCCATCTTCACTCTCCCTCCGATGAATTATCCCTGAAAAGCATTGTGTCCAGGCCAGAGCCCTGGCGTCGTCAGTGGGCTCATAGAGATAACGTCGTATGGCCGTTTAAGAAGATGAAGATTATAATCTTGGGTATGTTTGACGAATCACGCTAGATTGGCAATTATGAAGCCCATGCGAGCCTCTGTAGGGACGTTGTGCTATGGTTTGTTCTTGGGGTTTTCCGAAAGGGGTCAAGGTGACTTCAGGTATGTGTCAGGTTATTGTCTAGAAAGCGTTATGAAGCTTTTGGAACTTGAGATGAATGGAGGAAGCGAGGTGACGAAAACCTGGTCGGTCTGACCTATCAACTGGTCACCTCGTCTCAATAGTTTGTCTGTATTTTTCACTCCACTGTTGGTGGTTGGTTAAACTGCAACAACCTGTGTGCTCAAGGTTTCCTCCTCTCGACTTCCCCGTTTAACATTGCTTTTTTTGCCCTATGGGTTTGGGGTGACAGCGCTGGCTAAGCTCGGCCCCGAAAGGAATGTAACGATGAGCAACGGGTCGTGACATTTAAGTTGCCAAGTAGGAAAAAGCAAAACTTGTCCATTAATTGATCAACCAATCAGTCCCTCCCACTTTGTAGCCTTGCTCTTGCTGTGGTCTTTATACCCTTGAATTTGGTGGACGTCCATTCTAGGTTGCTAGATATTGATTGAATGCATTGCATCTGTCCTTGTGCGGAGTCTAACACGGGATATGTGATCTAGCGAAATATTCAAACCTTGCAGGCCATCTCATGGTGTTCGCAGAGATCTCCTCGATCTGCCTCGATCTGCCAAAAGCAAAACGTATTAGGTGAACCATGCAATCAAAGTTATATGAGGGAGGGTCTGGATCCTTCCTGCGAACAGGTTTTTCTTACCGCCACTCATGTACGCTTAGATTACAAAATTCCCCCTTTATTGATATTTTGCAGTTTGTGTGCTTCTTACCTTCCACAACGTTTGTAGGTCGCCTAGAGCCATAAATATCCCGACCTGCCATATCTGATCATGAAGATGGGATGGGAAGCAGGTCAGCCAGGACGAGCACCTGGACTGAGCTGCACCTCGGGCCGGGATCAGGCTGTTATGAAAGGAGCGTAGTGTCACTTGAGCTGACTGACACGCAGAGCTGAACGGAATTTGAAATTAGGCGCGGGGAATCCCCCGCCAGTCGATGTCGCGGAAGATCCCCTGGTTGGGCCTTGCAGCGGATCTGCTTTAGCACCCACGCTTGACTGGCCGTATCTGATCCCTGCTCAGCTTAGCAGCAGGGGTGTTGTTAGCATTTGGCTGGGCTAGTAGCTTACCTAAACCTCTTGATGCTACCCTTCGCTAGCTGCCCTGGGCATGGTTTCACTTGGCCTTGAGGCTGCCAACGTTGAACGAGCAATGCTGTCGTTAATGCCGCCGCTTTCCCCACCTTCTCTGTTTCTCCCATCCCCTCCAAAAATAAGCCTTGCTAGCATGCATCCCTTGTCTCAGCTCTGGTGGTGCGGCGTTGCCAGCTCTCTTCTTACCTGACCACATAGAAACGAAAGCTACGGATTGCTTCCTTTGATTAGATTGACGACAGACCATTGGACAGCAGCCTCAGACCAATCTCGTTGTTCCTGGCGAGGTGTCGGATGTCATTCATTGCGTGATAGGCCAACTGCCTGGAACCACCCTGCGTCTCTTGGCAGACTTTGGCTGCTAGCCCTAATACAAGCCGAGGCGCATGTAGATGTATACCCAGATGTCAAGGTCCACAAGGGAAAGCGGATGCCAGTCTGTACCTAGGTGGGAATCCTGCTCATGAGACTGGTTGGGAATATCGAGGTCGGTGCTGTGCTAAGAGTGATGGTAGATTGCCAGCACATCGTCTTTGCAAACATCCTTGGTAAATCGGACTTAACATCAAACTGCTTTCCAAGTATCAGATGTACCCGGAGGAGAAAGGCCGACCCGATGCAACCACGATATGCATGTACCCTGCATGGTTGAGGCGAAAATTGGTATCTGTGCACATGGTTTGATTGTGACCAGTCAGAAATATAACCGACCATGGCGGTCCATGCGTCGGATGCTTTCTTGCGCCACAATGCAGTCGACGAGGTGATTCTCTGGCTGCTTTCCGGCGGTGATTTGCCTCAGCACACACAAACATGCGCGCGGGTCAGAGTCTCGACTGGGTTTTCTCCTCAAAGATTGCCTGTAAGAGCTTGAGCACCCGACAGCAATTCCGTGTTCGCCAGGCCGGTCACGCACTAGCGCTTGTGACTAGCTGGCGGCGGAAGCTATGGTCATTTTAAAATCAAGATGTGAATCCTATAGCCAGACACTATCGAGGCGCATCGATTGAACGTCACTCGTCCACAGGCCGCTGGAGATTCAAGGTTGCAACCCGCACACCAGGTCCGAATCCCATCACGCCTTGATCCCAACGGAGTGGGCGACCAGACCCATACCTTGTATCTCGAACCGGCCATGGGTGTACGACTCCGGTGGGGCAGTTGGATTTCAAGTCACACAGCCCGAGACAATGTTGACCTAGTGTCGATTTTGAGTCAAGATGAATCCTAGGGAATGGCTCCGGTGTATCCGCGCACTTGCTGGAAGCTATCCTCTTTTCCGGTATCGATGGAGTGAAGTCCTTTGCGCCTGAATTCCCATCCATCAGGGATCGATGGAGATGTGCGCAATCTGGGCTGGGATGTTGGAGCACATCGCCTGTGGTCGAGCCGCTTTGATCAGATCATCAAAGCGCCTCCCATCTCCACAATCTCTCTGCTCGATGGACCGCGGGCCCTTGCCTTCGCTCGGTCCACACTCCGAGCCCAGAAACGGCACTCGGAGAATGTTGAGCATGAATCCCCCCCGCTGCCATGCGGTATTGGAAACCACGGTCTTCCCTGCTCGCCCCTGGTTGAAAGGAGGCGGGCCACTGGTTCTGGACAGCTTACAGGCGTAGGGAGCGAAATGTCCAACATTGTCGTGCATTGGCGAAAGCGCTTCATAGCTGACGCAATAACGAGCCTCCTCAAACGTGGCCATGGATAGACGAGTCGTGCATCACGGTGTGGCTCGGTGACCCGGTTTTTGATGAACAACGTTAGATTCGCGCAGGTAAGATTCTGGGCAGTCCTTCATCGGAACTACCTGCTCACGCTCCTGCAATTGTAGCAGATGCGGATGATGCCTGGTGGTTCTAACCCTTCTCCGTAACGGTGGCCAGAGCGGTACCTACCTTGGGTAGAGAATCCCCAGACCCCCCCACCATCACCACGAGAGCACCGTGCGCTAGTTTCTCGTGTGCCTGCCTATGATCCGTAAGTAATGAAGTCGTCGGTGGATTGGCGTACACACCTCAGGTACCACTCTGTTCCTGCCATCTAGACCAGCGCCCCAAAGCCACACGCGCATACATACGATGAAGGGTACGTAACATACATGCATGCGTGCATACATTCTGCCCCAGCCTGCATATGCTTGGCTAGACTAAACTACAGGCCGCTACTTCAGACTACGTGTTGTTCGAGAGATAATGCAAGAACTTTGGTGGATAATGACATGCCTTCAGCTCTCTATTTGTGCGCCCTTCATGCGTGGCTGCAAGCTCGTGTCGGGCATAATGTACGCACGCAGGGAGTTAGGCAGATATCGAGATCTCAGTATGCGAGTGACTTCGGCCGCAGGTTTCTCCGTAATAATGGAATCTCCCGTTGTCTGTCAAAAAATAGGCAGATGGAGGCAACGGAAAGTGGACGATGCGGCAAGCGCTAGGCAGAGACTCTCGAGAGAGGCAGGTGCCCGATCCGCTGATGGCTCCTGCCTGCTAGCCTGCTGTACGTACCTACTGAGGGCGTACGAGTAAGTGCTGCAGGCAGAATTCCATTGGGTGCTGGGGTTTGGGCTAAGGTGGGAGGTGACTTATCAACCGGGCTAGACGAATTGAGTGTTACGGGTCACCCCTCCCGAGATGGATCTGCAGCTTTACTGCAAGATCAACTTCCCTCTCCCATTCCGCCCCGTTCTTCTCGAAAGCTGTCTCTCTTCTGCAGCCAGTGTCACATCCTGAGGCCGCCACTGGGGCCCGTACAGCCTGCAGGAGTGTTAGATTGTGTCAGTTCTCAGTTTCGCTTGCCGTCTCGTATGGCCTAGAGACGCGGGTTTCTAAGCGAGCTGTTGCAGGCAAAAACATTGGCAACCATCTCTCTCCACCCGCTTGTAACATGTTGCTGGGAAAGCATGTCGAGGGAATTAATCCCGGGGGTTGCGCCATGGCCACCCTCCAGTCTGTCCTCCTAGGCAGAGACGGGTAGTCGCCCTCCGCCACCACAGCACCGATGAGATGAGACTATCTAATTTTTCTTGTCAATGTTGCTGTAGAGGACGCAGGCGCATGGTTTCCGCTGTTCCAGCTCTGCCACACGCAGTACGGTACGAGCCTGAGCGGGTTCAATAGCCCAGGGTCAGGACGCTAGCTGGTCCAACTGGATCTCTGCCAGGGTGGATGCCCGCTCGACTTCGCAGCAGGCACATTACTCGCAACCTCGAGGCCACCCGCCAATGGCCGATCATTATCACGACCTCTGATACTTCGGGTCTTTGGGCCTCTTCATTGGTCTTAGTCGCCGAGCCTTGGGCCTGTCCCCAGCAGCCAACTTAACCAGAGACGGCCATGACAACGGTGACACCTATCAGTGAATCACATACTGCATCCACTGGACAAGGCTCGCTAGCCTGCCAGCCCATGGGTCCAGGTCAAGTTGCTCAACCACGCATGCTTCATGGGGTCCGAGGGCGTCCGTGCTGAGATCAGCCTGGACGTGTATATAGCGAAATGGATGGCCACGCTAGATGTGCAGGTCCGGACAGTAGCCATGCCGTATGACCCTACAGTACCTGAGTCCCTCACCGATCGAGACCATTCAGCCCAGTCTGTGGCTAACTACTAACGAGTTAAAGAAGAAAAGAGCTGGTCGGGTCATCTGCACCTTTCCATTGGCTATAAGAGCTGTGAGTCCGCTGCGGCGTCGTTGTCCCCTCCCGAGGAGAGGTCCAACCGTTCCCTGATATGATGGCCACCCCAGCCAGCCTTCCTCCCCACAGGCCAGACAAAGAGTACTCTTTTCTTGAAGCTCTCAACATCGGGCCTACAAACGAGCTTACCCTCGTATCCCAAGAGAAACTTGGCCTTTCACCAACTCCCAAATCTCCTGCTACGGCGTTGAGGTCACCACCTCTACCTCCTTTGCCCTCCAATCCCACACCCAGTCCCGCCAGGTCGGAGTTCAACGTTACCACACCGACCAAATCTGATTTTGCCAGCCCCAAGCAAAATCTGGCGACCCCCCGGCCAACCGGGCATCACTCTTTGTTCCCCCAAACTAATACTCACGGCAACAACGTCGAAGAAGTCAAAGGCACCAACACCAGCAAAGGCGCCAGCACCAGCAAAGGCACCAGCACCAGCAAAGGCGCCAACACCACAAAAGGCGCCAGCACCAGTAACGGTGTTAAACCTATTACAGAGACCGCTGCCATGGCTCCTTCCATCAAGGCTCAGGCGCAATGCCTCGAGTCCTGCAGCAAAGTCACCAAGGCTGGTGACCGAATTTCTGTTCGAATGCTCGAGTACCTTACGTCGATTAAGCAGACCCATATGCCCCATGGGCTCGACGATCTTGCCCACGGCTTCCTCTCGACATGCCAAGTTCTTCTAACCATCGAGGCTGGCCTGGAAGAATGCACGCGTACCCATCAATTCTTTCCCGGAGAACTCCTTGCAGAGTTGGACAAGAAGTTCCGCGTGTGCTTCGCTGATTTCCAGGTCTTAGAGAACATGCTCTCGAGGGTCCTCGAGTCGGAACGCAAGAGTCACGGCGCAATGGGAAAGATGAAGCGTGGATTGAGCAAGCTGTTTGGAGATACAGATTTCAGCAAGATTTCCTCGGCGCTTGAGCAAACGAGAGAGAGCCTCAGGGTCAGCGCTCTGATGTTCCAGTGGAGCCTAGGAGATGACAAGATCGAGAGCGGAGCTGGTATTGGCTACACTGGTCTTGCAGCTGCGTTGGATAGACTGGACCAGAAGAGGTCGAGCACTCGGACAAGATCTGAGACGAATAGCTCGCACCACAACTTGCCTTCTCTTCGTCAACAAGAGCAGCCTCCGCTGCCTCCTATTCCTGCCTTGCAGTGGGCCGAGCGTTCAACCTCCCTCCAGAATGACACCATGATGTCCTCCGAGATTCGATCACCAACCAGTGATCTGCGCCAGTGGAGCGCTACGGCCAGTTCCGTTCATTCTGGCGACCGCCATAACCACCAAACCGCCTTTGATCGCCTCAGTTCTTTCGACGAGACAATGTCGCACCATACCGGAAGCGACTCGGCTGTCAATGACGCTATCAATGAGGAGCTTGCTGCCCTCGACTTGGGCTCAGACAAGGTCGTCCGGTTGAAGACTGATCCTTTCACGATGCCCCGATGGAATCCTCGTGCTAGCACAGGAAGCACGGATGGTGCGACATTGAAGAGTGCCCTCGCCTCTGCGATTCGTGCCAGGAACCACAAGCTCGTCGAGCAGCTCCTGGATAGAGGTGCTCCCGCCAACAGTCCTGATATCCATGCCCTTATCGAAGCTGTTAAGGTGCAGGATGTTGAAAGCGTTCGCCTGCTTCTCCTATTCGGAGCGGACCCTAACGAAACCGACCGAGAGGGTATGACTCCTCTGGCTCTTGCTGTTGAGAAGACACTGCTGGGAGCAGCGGTGACCCTGCTCAAGTACGGAGCGGACCCTAACATGAAGGCTGGCATGGATCAGGACAGCCCCGTCGCTCGTGCGATCCAGAGTAACAAAGTCAGCCTTGCTCATTTGTTACTAATGTACGGTGGTGATGTCACCCAGTTGAACTCGGAGGGCAACACAATGCTGATAAGCGCGGTCAACAAGAAGACGCCTCGCCAATTCATTGCACTCCTCTTGGGATACGGGGCAGACCCCAACGAGAAGAGCCGAGAGGGGAAGACGGTGCTCTTCGAGGCCATTACAAGCGCTCGCGACGACATTGTCTCTTGTCTTCTGGAGAAGAAAGCCAATCCCAACCTCCCAGGTCCCAAGCACATGTTGTGGCCTGCCTGCTCCCAGTCTCCTTGCCTCCAACTGTTGTTGAAACATGGCGCTGATTACAAAAAGACTCCTGGTATTATGGAGCTCGCAGCCAGTATCAATAACATCGAGTCGGTTCGCATCCTGCTCAAGGCCGGCGTTGACCCCAACGCAAAGAAGGATGGAGCCTATACTCCCCTCTGTACTTCTATCCGAGACAACCGCCCCGACATCTTCCACCTGCTTCTGAACAGTGGTGCAGACCCCAACACACCGGCAGCTGAATACCCCTGCTTCAAGTGCATTACACACAATCGGCTTCAATTCTTGCCGGCCTTGGTTGCGGCAGGCGGAAACCTGAACAACCCGAAGGGTATTTTAGAGACTGCTGTGAGTCAGAATTACATGGAAGCTGTTCTTTGGCTTTTGGACCAGGGCTTGGACCCCAATGAGCGAAGCGCCAAGGGCCATTCGCCCCTGACAACGGCCATCCGCGACAATCGTGTTGAGCTCGTCGATCTCTTGATCATGCGTGGCGCCGACCCAAACAAGCGCGGCGAGGACTGGCCAGTCTGCATGGCTGTTCGAAACCCACCTATTCTGAAGCGCATTCTTAACGTCCTGGCTGAGCCCCGCGCTTTCAAGGGTGTTATTGAGCGGGCCGTAGCTGCCAACCAGCTCGAGTCAGTCAAGCTGCTCCTCGCTGCCGGCGTTTCAGTCGAAGACAAGAATGGTGGTGTTTTCTCTCCTCTTACCACAGCTTTGCGCGAAAATCACCGAGAAATTGTCAGATTTCTTATTGATCCCAACGGCGGTGGTGCCGATGTCAATGCCCCTGGTGAACATCTGCCTGTTGTCAAGGCTCTTCGACGATTCCATGGCGAGGATACGGTTATGCTTGAAGTGCTGTTGGAGAATGGTGCTGACCCTAACAAGATGTACCGCGGATGGAACGGCATCTTCCAGGCCGTCGAGAATGGCGAGTTGGAGGTGCTCCAGATCTTGAAGGACAAGGGAGGAGGCTTTGACCTCGACGCCAAGGACGAGATGGGCCGCAGCGCCATTGAGATGGCAAGCCAGCGAGGATGGGATGAGGGAGTAAAGATACTCCGCGAGGGACGACAGAAGCAGTAGATATACTGCAGTGTTTACACACAAAAGGTTCAAACGAGATGAAGAAGAGGTCTATATACCCAACTAATGAGACTTCTCATGTAATAGTGTTGATGTAATAACATTGGAGGAGCACACACAGGACAATCATTTGTCAATGTCGAATGGAGACATGATATTTTCCCTTTTTGTCGGATTTTCTACTCTACGTTTGGTTTCATAGCTTCGCTTCGTGGTCTATATTTTCGCCATACCCGATGAGAAATTTGTCTGCGGGCAGAAGTTTACACACTCAATACACAAGTTTAAATGAGCAGAAGTTTTCAGCCAGTCTCGCTGCCTGTATCGCTTTCATTTTACCATTTTCCCCTTGAGAGATGTCGATTATTCTCTTACTCTTTGGGTTAGGTTTCAAGTGACTTGTAGAAGAATGTGACGTCCTTGAATTCCCCAGACGGACTCAGCCCATACTTTGGTATTCTGCCAACTTCGGTATATCCGAGTTTACTAAAGACAGACTCGGCCAGGCTGCCAGATTCTGCAGCCAGGGTCTGGAGGTTTCCGCTACAATGTTAGCCATGCGCTGCACGCAGTCGGGTTCGCCGCCTGAAAAAAAAAACCACTTACCAGCATGGTTCGCCCTCGCTCCACGGCCTCCCTCTCCAGGGCGTCGACGAGGGCGGTGGCGCCGCCGCGGGCGCGGTACGAAGGGTGGATGAGCAGCTTCTCGACAACGGCGCGGAAGGAGCTGGTCTCGGAGGGCGGCATGTCCAGCATGACGATGCCCATGACGTGGGTGCCTTTGGGGACGGCGGGGTTGTGGTTGTGGTTGTGGTGGAACAGCAGGCCGTTGCTGGTGGTGGCGGGGTCGTTGTCGTCGGCGCGGACGAGGAGGAGGAGCAGGCGGGTGCCGGCCGAGACCTCGGCGATGCGGTCCTTCCAGTAGGCGAGGAGCTTCTCGTGGGAGAGGGGGGGGATGAAGCTGGCGATGGTGCGGTCGTGGGTGATGCAGGAGGCGTGGATGGCGGCGAGGTAGGGGATGAGTGGGGTGTGCTGGCCTGGGGTGAAGAGGATGACGGAGGAAGAGGAGGAGGAGGAGGAGGAGGCCATGGTTAAGGATCGTGAGGAGGTGGAGTGGGCGGTTGTTTGAGTTGCATGGGGGCGTTGATGGGAGGTTGTCTCTGTCGTTGGGTGTTGACTGAGATGGACGGTGCTGTGCTTGTCTGTATTACTGGGCGGCGATGATGCGCAAACCACCTCGGAGGGACTTGACTTCGGGGCAATTCCTCTCTGGGAGTTTGTCTCTTACTTTCCCTTTTCTTGTAGGAAAGTAAACAAACGAATGGAGAGGGGAAAAGAAAATAAATTTGATAAGTGAAAGAGCGCAAGGTGTTGGAATAAGAAGTGTGACTAGTGAAATAATGCTAGCAATTGGGAGGCATTTGCGCCTAAAAAGGCGATGAAGATCAGGCTGTTGTAGCTCTGGAAACCTGGATGTGTGCGACCGTCTGCTTCCGAGTAAGTGAACATGATTCTTAGAAGGAGACTGATGAAAATAAATTCGAAATATGTAAACAATAGTTGCTCATTGTCCCACCATGGATTTATTCATCATTCGCGATTCTCTGGTTAGGCCAGCCTTGGTTCAATTCACAGCAGAGATCTGGCTGACTGGCTTTTATGAAGTGAGTGAGACAGACACACAAATCCCACACTATATGACCGGTATGAGTGCATTGGATTCACAAAACGTTGCGCCAGAAAGACAGATATTAATTTGAAATTACATAGCAGCGAGCCATCCTGGAGTTCTCAGTCGCTTGAAGAGGCCCTCGCCATGGCTCACATACCTCTGTCAGCAATGTTTGCTGCCATCGCATGAGTTGAAGGGAGGAGACCAAACACCCCGGGTGCAATCCGAACCATTTACAACTACAGAGAGAATGAGTAATCATCCGTTGCTTCTCAGGCAGTGTGATCTAGGTGATTAACTGCTCTGTAGGATCAACGTAACCCACCTGCGTGCGTGGGCATGTTGATATCATGCTACTCTCCTTCACTCGTCTCCCAATTGGTGATGGGCCTATAAATAAGCCTAAAGGAATGGCCAATGTAAGCCGCGTAATGCCGGGAAGGGAACTGCTGTCATCGACCAACCATGCATAGACAGACGCCCATGAACTTCGGTCACAGCAGGTGGCACAAGCAGCTGCTTGAGCAAGACAGACGAATCCGCCCCCACTTCTGGCTCGTCTCATCTCAGCTCACATCTCTCGTTTCAGCGCGACCGCTGCTGCGTCTCCCACCAACAGTAGAGAAGACCAATTGTCGATTTCCTCCCTCTCCGCCTCAATTCAACATCCATTTCCCGACTCATCCGGCCTCTCGGGTGACCAGACAGGCATCTCTGCAGTGGGAGAACGAGGACTAGAGTGAGCAGCTCAGTGAAGATCCAGGCACACGACACACTTGAGACCACACGCCAACGACATGGAGTCGATCTTTAAGAAGGTCGAAGAAGGGGTTGACGCTGTCTTTGGCAATGAGAAACACTCTCATTCCCACTTCGGCTACGAGTGCGAGCACCTTCATCCCGACGAGGAAACAGTCAATCGCTATCACTCCTTTGCCCCTCCTTCAAGCGGGAACGCGAAGTGGTATGTCGACGGATGCTCGTACTTCTGGGCCGTTTCGGAAGCTCTCGAACGCAAGTAAAACCCTCTCCGAGTCGCAGCTCCACCTGAAAACTGACCATATCTGCCCGCTTCTTAGGAGCCCGGGAGGAGATCTTGATTCTGGATTGGTGGTTGAGCCCCGAGCTGTATCTACGCCGCCCGCCATCCCTGAACGAGAAGTATCGTCTCGACAACATGCTCAAGGCAGCCGCCGAGCGTGGAGTGAAGGTCAACGTCATCGTTTACAGGGAGGTCGAGGCTGCTCTCACCTGTAACTCTCAAGTACGAGACCACTCTTAACCCGGGGTCTAACCCAGTAACTGGTACCAGGTCTCGCAACGCTCATACTTTGTTATCATTCATTTAGCATACCAGAAAGGCATTGGAAGCCTTGCACCCGAACATTTCTGTCTTCCGACACCCAGACCACACGCCTACCGGCTATGATCTCGTGTCTGAGCTCGGGTCTAGTTTTGCCCACCTCACCAACTTTGATCTCGCCAAGGCATCAGATGAGGCTTTGAAAGCCCTCTATGGAACTGCTGATGGCATGGTTCTGTTTTGGGCTCACCATGAGAAACTTATCGTCGTAGATCGCAAACTGTCGTTCATGGGTGGCCTGGACCTTTGTAACTAAACCCCATCCCCTCTGTTTCCATCATTCCTCAGAGTATCGGTATCTAACACTATTTCTAGGTTTCGGACGATGGGATACTAGTTGTGAGACTCTCTTGACACTGGCATAATATTCCTCGGTTTTACTAACTAGTTGAATCTGTGATATAGCTCACCCTATTGCTGATGCTCATCCCGGCAACTTGGATGCCATTGTGTTCCCTGGACAGGACTACAACAATGCTCGGGTGTACGATTTCCACGACGTCGGAAACTGGGACCAGAACAAACGTAAGATTGATACCTTGATGCCCTGTCCTTTCACCTCGGCTAACCGCAGTCTGCCGCCACCAGTTGACCGCACCAAGAGCTCAAGAATGGGATGGTCAGACGTTGCTCTGAGCATGACCGGCCCCATCGTGGACAGTCTTGTGGCTCACTTTGCCGATAGATGGTATGTGAGACCGGCCAGGCTGGATAGCCCTAATGTGAGGAGCCTGTCTTATACTTACACATCATCCGCAGGAACTTCATCTGGCAGCAAAAGTACAAATCCAAAAACCAAGGAAAATACAATGTCCTCACTGTGAAAGACATTAACCAAGAAGAGGACGACTCAACCCTGGATCACCTCACCAATAGGTTTAATCGTGGCATGAGTAGACTGATGCACTTTGGAAGTGATGACAACGATGATGAGGGTCGGCCAGCACGCGGCCAAGACGGCCAGACCACTAAAATCCAGCTCACTCGAAGGTACGTTAACAGAGATTACAAAGAAGCCCGCAAGCCTTGAGATACTCGTGGGGGAAAATGGCTAATTTCACGTTCGACAGCTCCTGCAAGTGGTCTTCCGGACACAAGGTTGAGCACTCGATCGCAAACGCCTACATCGAAGCCATCACCAATGCCGAGCATTTTGTATACATCGAGAACCAGGTATGCGAAAGCTCCAGACCTACAAAACCACCCACTTTACTCACAACGGGGCAAAACAGTTCTTCATCACAGCAACCTGCGACAAGCAGCTCCCCGTAGCCAATAAGATCGGCGCCGCAATGGTTGACCGCATCATCCGGGCCAACGAGGAGGGCAAGCCGTTTAGAATCTGGGTCGTCATGCCCGCCGTGCCGGCCTTCGCGGGAGATCTCGAGTCGGAGGGCGCGCTCGGCACCCGCGCCATCATGGAGTTCCAGTACTTCTCCATCAGCCGCGGGGGGAACAGCATACTCGAGAAGCTGCGCGAGGCCGGCATCAACCCGGGCGACTACATCGGCTTCTACAACCTGCGCAACTTTGACCGCATCAACACCTCCAGGACCATGCACGACGCCGAGGAGCGCGCCGGCGTCGCGTACGAGGACGCCCGCAAGGGCCACGACGGGCAAGTGGGCGGCGGGTACGAGGACGGCGAGGGCGAGGGCGACCACGCGGACGAGTACAGGAGGTACCAGCGCGAGGCCGGCGCCGTGAAGGACGCGACCCTCGACACCATCAGCTCCTGCTACATGGCCAGCGGCGCCCGCGTCTCGGAGCTGCGCTGGGACGGCGCCCCGGAGGACGAGATCGGCGCCTTCGTCAGCGAGGAGCTCTACGTCCACAGCAAGCTCCTCATCGCCGACGACCGCCTCGTCATCTGCGGCTCCGCCAACCTCAACGACCGCTCCCAGCTGGGCACGCACGACTCCGAGATCGCCGTCGTCATCGAGGACCCGACCCCCGTCGAGAGCCAGATGGCCGGCCGCCCCTTCACCGCCTCCGCCTTCGCCGCCTCCCTGCGCAGGCACATCTTCCGCAAGCACCTCGGCCTCCTCCCGGACCAGCGCTGGGACCGCCCGGACGACAACTGGCGGCCCGTCGACCAGTCGCCCAACCACTACGACTGGGGCTCCATATCCGACAGACTCGTCCAGGACCCCCTCCACCCCAACTTCCAGCGCCTCTGGGCCGGGACCGCAAAGGTGAACACCGAGACCTTCAGCAGGGCCTTCCACCCCGTCCCCAACGACCACGTGCGCACGTGGGAGGACTACAAGGAGTTCTTCACCAAGCACTTCATCATCCCCGGCGTGGACAAGGAGGGCGAGAAGCCGAACAACGAGGGCAAGGTCGAGTACGGCCACATCGTGCAGGAGGAGTTCCCGGGCGGCGTGCAGGAGGTCAAGGAGTGGCTCGATCAGATCCGGGGGACTCTGGTGGAGATGCCCCTCGACTTCCTCGTCGACGTCGATGACATTGCCAAGGAAGGATTGGCACTGAACAGCTTGACGGAGGAGTTATATACCTGATGAGGTCCATCATATAGGCTTGCTTCCGCAGCAGCGAGGAGTCGTTCCGGTCAAGCATCCGCCATTTAGTCACCATCTTGAGTTTCGATCCTGAATATTGAACTTCTTTTAGTCGGTGTGATTGGATAACAGGATAAACGCAGCAACTATCGAAACAGGTTTTTACAAAACAAGTGCTTCTTTCTGTCCTATCTCTAATAACGTGTAAAAAAAAAAGTAACGTTGCGCATCTCACAAGATAACCCATGCAGAATCTCCAAGAGCAACCCACTCTTGGGCCAGACTAAAAATAGTATGCCAAAATAAAAACAAGAACTTGCCTCTTACACGGGAGTGTGTTGTATTATACATATGGAAAATACCCCAATCCCCTTGCCCAAACCCTGCAACTCCAGATATGCCTTCGGATGTTCTCAAATGCAGGGGATGGAGACGAAGCGCAGAATATAAAGCTCCAAATCCAATGGAAGTACATCGCATCAAGCGACGGGGAGCTTTCCAGATGCACCATGTTACGTGTCAGTTTGGTGGGCGTCGTTACCCAGGACTGACTTTTGATCCCCTCAGGAATCCGTTGATTCCCTTTCTCGCTTTAGAAAGAACAAACATAAAGGCCGTCAAAGACAAAAAGGTCCGGTTCGGAGCCTCGAGTCTTGGTCAAGGATCAGTCCGCTTTGGTATATCCGTTTTGACCTAGAATACCATCCTTGAAAGATCCCTTGGGTTCGTCGAGCTTGAAGTACCCGGCCCTACGACGGAAACGGCCCTTGAAAATGGTGAAGAGGCCAAAGAGAACGCCAACGACACATCCGGAGCTCAGGTACGGATGCTCAACAAATGTGACACGGATATCAAGAAGTGCCTTTTCGAAGATGGAGACAGCCAGCTTAGGCTTGACCACATTAGGTCCGTAGATGATCTTGTCGAGGGATTCCGAGATGGCAGTACGGCTGACCATGATGTAGTTCCCAGTAGCAGTGTTGTCCCAGTATTTGCGGCTCTAGAATCACGTTAGTTTAGTTCCCCATTTCCCATGGCGCTCACTTATAATTCGAGGAGAGGGCACACTTACATCCTGGTCATTAATGATGACACGGTCACCGAGAGTAGAATCGATACCGAAAGTTGTTCGGATCCATCTCTGCCAGAAGACGCCATCAACCCAAGCAAATGCGACTTCCTTCTTCCCGGAGTTGTTCATATCGATGCGAATCGTCTTGGCGGACCTCAGAGCGCGCTGATCATCCCGATCCTCGGCTTCTTCAATTCTCATCTGCTTGGCATCTCGGAGCTTCTTCCTCTCAAGTTGGAATTCTTGGATCTGCCGATCCATCCACTCGTTGGCAGCGCTCTTCAATTCTCTGAGAGCACCTTGGAATCCATCGGCGTTCTTGCGGTTCAGAATACCCAGAACGACAATCTTGCCGTCCATGATCTGGCGAGCATTCATGGCAGTAAGTTCAGGAACAAGAGGAAGCCAGACAGACTTCATCCAGTCGAGAACACCATGCACGTCTCTCATCTCATTAGGCGTCAAAGGTGTGAAGTACGTTGGGCGGCCTTCTCGGGACACCAGCAATCTGGGCCAGGTACTGATCTTGAATCTCTTGTACAGGGCAGGATCTTGGGTCTTGACCAACTTGGCATGGCCAATGAGGCTGAGAGGAATGCGCTCCAAGGCCACGAGATCCTCGGTCGTTGTCGCATGATCGTAGAAGTAGACGAAGACGACTTCTTCCTTCTTTTCGAGGGCCTCGAATTCTTCGGCAGTTACGTCGGGTACACCTCCAGCAAGATCAATAGCCTTGTCGGCGTATTGGACGAAGTCACCCAGGCCTCGGAGACCTTGGTACTCGGCTCGCTCGCCGCCCTTGAAGAACAGAATGGTAGGGTAAGCCCGAGCCTTGACGTCCTTGCACAGTCCTCTCTCGACATCGCAGTTGACTTCTCCGATGTTGAGCTTGCCTTGCATGCTCTTAGCGAGCTGGCTCCAAGTTGGGGCCAGTGCTTGGCAGTGGTGGCACCATGGGGCGTAGAACTTGACGAACCATGGGTCCTGAGTCATGGTTACCAGTCTTTGGAAACTCTCTGCTGTAAGAGGGACTGAGGCCCCATTTTCATTGGGGGGATTCAATGGCTTCTTGGGCTTCCTGATATTGAACACCTCAGCGGCAGTCACTCCTTTCCACTTTTGGGGCCACTCCCCCCCAGTAGATTCAGTCTCGTCGGACACCTTCTTCTTAGGCTTCTCACTCAGAATATCGTCCAGTGTATCGGAAAGGTCTTCCAAGTGCTCGTCTGAAATACTCTCCATGTCATCCTTGTGAATCACGCTGGTATCATGTTTCTCGGAGTCTTCCTCGGTGGAATCGTCATCCTCTTCCGTGGTTGAGGTCTTGCTAGAGCTCTTGGTAGTGGAATCGTCATCGTCTGCCTTTGAAGTTGCCCTCTTTGGGAACTCCTTGTCACCGGGCTCGGGGAGTTCAACAGTGGTGGGACGAGATCCAGGCTTGGCCTCCTCCAAGGCCTTCTCGACCAACTCGCTGATGACCCCTATTTGCTTGGCACCTCGAATACGTGTGAACTCCTTTCCATTCTCAAATATGATTGTCTGAGGGTAAGTGTTGACATCATGGCTAAGGCAGAGGTCCTGATAGGCAATACAATTGAGCATGCCAAATCTGAGATCGTAGTAGTCGGTAAAGCTCGAACTGCCGGCAGCTTTTGGTTTCGAGGTGTAGTAGAATTCGTGGAGGGTCTGGAAGGTTGGGGCGAAATCAATACAGTGAGGGCAGTAAGGGCTGGCCATGTGTTAGCTGGAAATGAGAGATTGGGGGAAATCATGCCCATTTTACCTATAATGCTTGACGACAAGATATTTACTTTTCGCAATCTCGTCCTTGTAGTTGGCTGGAGTCAATTCCAAGATGGGAGGGACAGTGACCCCATTGAACACTGTTGGTACTTGTGCCTCCTGCTCCTCCCAATCATCTGATTCTCTGGTGACTAACGATTCGCCCGATGCCTTCGCCAGGGCTGATAGGCCCATAAGGAGGGCTAATGGTGACAGCCTCATGATGGGCGATTAGATTTGTCGCAATGCGATGATCAATAGTTGATGAAGAAAGGCCAGAAAGATGGTGCAAAAAATACGGGTCGCCGGAGACCCTAAAAGCGCAATATCAATGATACAATGCAGTACGTGTAGACATGCGAGCGTTGAAACGTGTTCCCCGTAGTCGAACAAGGTCTGTGCAGAACAGGTTTTAGGGCGAGCCGGGATAATGTCGCAGGTGAAGCAAGTAGGAATGGAAGCGGCTGGCGACAGGAGAGCGAGGGAATCGAAGGTAATCAAAATACCAAATCGTCGAGACGGGATGAGGAGGCGCAACGGTTGGCGAAGCGTCGGGTCAGGAGAACAGATAACGCGGATGCAAGGGCAGAGGCGATTAGATGGGCAACGGTCGCTCCAAATTGACTTTGGTGGGAACGATGCGCTAATCAACCAATCGATCGGGGTCTGGGGGGCGATGCCACGACAGAGGCACCGGCTAGGAGTTGAAGCGAAGCAAGAGAAGGGCGAGAAGCAACTCGATCCTGGCACCAAAACACCAGCAGAAGGACACCTTCAGGAGTTTGGTCTTACTGCAAACCAGCAAACAATCTGGTGGAGCAGAGTGGCAGCGGCAGGACCAGCGGTACTTTGACCTGTTAGCCAACAGCAGGCGATGCCCCCAGTTCAGTAGCTGGACCCAGGTAGCCTCACAATCTGCTACGCAACCAACGCGCTTACTTCTTCAGGCGGGACACCCCTAATATCTAAGAATAACTTTGCTGGCAACAGCAAACACAAAAGACCCTTTGCAAGGGGCTGTAAGAGGATGCCCGATAGGTCAAGATAACATCGCTACAGGTAGGCCAATGGATAGACAAAGATAGAATAAATGCTCACACCTAATTTGATTCGACCGGCAGCCATATAAGTGCTTGCTGTTGGCATGGCATGAATAATAATTGATACTATTCTGGTGGCATTCGCTGCCTAGTCGGTACCACTTTCCCAGCAAAGGGCGGCGTCAGCGCCTGGCGAATCCAGTGTGTGCATCCTCCATCACCACCGTCGGGTTGGGAACTACCAAAGTAAAGTAAACCAGCTCCGAGGTCGCGTTTAGGTGAAGTCAAGGGATTTGAATCAACATCATCTTCCATCTTGCCCCGCCTTCCCATAAAGCATCGCTTCCAATGCAGGAGCATGGAACAGTCACGAAAGCGCCCCCCGGAAGAAGATCCCCAAACTACCGTTGAAGGCCCCGAGTCGCTCTCACGTCCTATCAGCCCACCACGCAAGAAAACACGTCCATCTCCTCCCACCTTACCTTCTCCATGGCATCTCACATGGATTCAAGATCTCCCCGAAGATCTCAACCAGGATGCCGTGACATTGACAGATCTTCTAGGGGATCCTCTGATATCAGAATGCTGGGAATTCAATTACCTTCATGACATCCCCTTCCTTATGGATGCCTTTGATAATGACACACGGCACATGGTCAAAGTCCATGTAATACATGGCTTTTGGAAACAGGAGGACCGGAGTCGTCAGCGGCTCATGGTACGCCCCCTGATTTCCCCAGAGCCTTACCTAACCATTCGCTAATAATCCACAGCATGATGCCTCCAGATACAGCAATGTACAGCTTCATGTAGCTCCGATGCCTGAGATGTTTGGGACGCATCATTGCAAAATGATGATTTTGTTTCGGCATGATGAGACTGCACAAGTCATCATCCACACAGCTAATCTGATACCTAAAGATTGGACCAACATGACCAACGCCGTGTGGAAGTCCCCAATCCTTTCCAAGATTGCTAACTCGGTGGAACGTATCGATACCCCATCCAGCACCGCCGTTCTAGGAACCGGGGCCAGGTTCAAAAGAGACCTGTTGAACTATCTGAAGAAATACGACCAAAGGAGGACCACCCTCCAGCCACTTGTCGACCATCTCGGGCAATATGATTTCTCTCCTGTTCGCGCTGCGTTAATTGCTAGTGTCCCGGGCACACACAAACTCAACGACAGCCCACAGACTCTATGGGGCTGGCCAGCTTTGAAACAGCAACTTCAGTCAGTGCCTTGTGCTGAAGGCCCAGCGGACGTCGTTGTCCAGATCTCTTCCATCGCTACTCTTGGGGCTAAAGATGAATGGCTTAGAAAAGTTATCTTTGATTCCCTCGCCCAGTCTCGAAATCTCAAACCAATCCAAAGTCCAAAATTCAAAGTGGTGTTTCCGACAGCCGATGAGATCAGGAGGTCCATCGATGGGTACGCATCAGGAGCCTCCATCCACACCAAGACTCAATCAAAGCAGCAGGAGAAGCAGCTGCACTACCTCCGACCTCATTTCTATCACTGGGCGAACGATGGCGTAAATGGCCAAGGTACGTTGATGCTACCTCCCAATAATGAAGATCCAGAGCTCAGAGTCCAACTAAGACGTAACTAGTCCTGCCAGACGATGTGCCGACCCTGGATGGTGGACGCGCGCGGGCAGCACCTCACATCAAGACGTATATTCGATACAATTCAAACTCGATTGATTGGGCAATGTTAACATCGGCGAATCTATCCAAGCAAGCATGGGGAGAGGCTTGCCGGCCAGCCTCAGGAGAAGTGCGCATCGCATCGTGGGAAATTGGCGTATTGGTCTGGGCCGAATTGATCGAAGAAGGCTCCAAAATGGTCCCAACCTTTAAGACCGATCTTCCCACATTGAGCGAGCGAGACAATGACCAAACGCAGCCGCTCGTCGGGATACGCGTTCCGTACAATCTGCCTCTACAAAAGTACGGCCCTCAAGAAGTACCCTGGGTGGCAACTATGACACACAAGGAACCAGATCAACGGGGGCAAAGTTGGGTGGTGGACGAATAACACGGTCAGCAATTTCTCCACTTGCTCTAGTCTCTCAGCTATCAGATGCTGCATGTTACAACCTTCAAATAGTTGGATATGATGTCTCAGAGAAGCGGCCCTTTATTCCATCACCCGCATGTATGTCTTGCTGGGCCAAGGAGATGACGGTCTCAAAGTTCCGAATAGGAGGATGTACAGGTCATGAGGCTGGACTCGGATCGTGAACCTCTCCACAGATGTGTGACTCACGCCGTCCCGAACGCCATGAATGGATCATTGAAGGATCCCCAAGCAAGGATTGCCGGTTGCACAGATAACGCTAGACTTATAAGAGTTTTCGCGCCGTCCAACCTCGAGCGACGGATTGTCATCTAGTGTCGATTTCTCCAAATGCTAAAGTTCGCAACGGCAAGCAATTAATTTAGATCCGGCTGCTTGATCAGCACCATCACCATTCCCGCTATTCGCTGCTCTGCATCCCCGTGCCTGTATTTCTCCAATTGATTTGATTGATAAAAAAGAAACCCCCCTTCGTCTTCGTCTGGTTAGGTCCACTTTCGTGATCCCACTGGAAAATACCCAGCCTTCGTTTCAAGAATTGCGGTCTGGCCATGGGTCGAGATCGATCCATTGGGGCGTCCAACCGCGATTTTCATTCTGCGCTTTCATCCTCATTCAGATCCTCCTCGCCGCTTGCGGAACAGTACCTAGCCCAGGATATCGCCGCCTGCTCTGACGACGATGTGGAAACAGACCATGAAGACGGATTGTCCGAGGTAGACCACCATGGCAATGCTGGTCATTTCACATACCGGCGCCCCAGCGGAGTCACTTATGGCGGCTTCCGCCCAGTCCTCAACCCCCAGGCCGCAGAGGATCCCGGCCTGAGCCCTCTGGAGAGGAAGCAGTCTCGTGATGCAGAGCGAAGTCTGCTTAGGGATAATCACATTCTGCCTCCCAAGCATGGCGAGAGAAAGCACGAGGGTCTCGCTTCCCGTGCATACCACCGCCTGTTCAGCACCAAGGTGCCCTCCCACGAGGAGGACGCCCCGCGGATCGTCGTTGACTCTGCCGACGAGCAGTCTCCCCTCCTTGGGGGCTCTGCGAGAGGTGCAGCTCCTCCACCTGACAGTCCTGAAGCAGACATAGACGAAGATGTCGAGGATCAATGGATACAGGCGGTCGCTGAAGGGCGCATCCGCACCACTTGGCAACGGGAAGCCAAGACCCTCTCGCAATACGCTACACCTCTGATCGCCACCTTTTTCCTGCAGTACTCTATCAACGCAGCGAGCATATTTGCTGTCGGGCGCATTGGGAGCATTGAGCTTGGCGCCGTGTCCTGTAAGTCGAAACCAAGCAGTGATGAACAGCCCTGCCATCCATACCATCCATCCAGTGCTAACGATCCCGTCAAATCAAATAGTGGCGAACATGACAGCGGCCATCACATGTCTGGCTCCCTTCCAAGGGCTGGCAACCAGTCTCGACACCCTGTGTGCTCAAGCCTACGGCTCGGGACACAAGCACCTCGTGGGGCTCCAATGCCAGCGTATGGTATGCTTCCTCTTCACGCTCACTCCCCCCGTTGCCGTTGTCTGGTATTTCTCCGAGCACATCCTCGGCCTCATACTCCCAGAGCCTGAATCTGCTCGGCTCGCCGGCATGTACCTGAAAGTGATGATCTTCGGCGTGCCTGGGATAATATTGTTCGAGTGCGGCAAGCGCTTCACCCAAGCCCAGGGCATATTCCACGCAACCACGTATGTTCTCTTCATTGTAGCACCCCTCAACATCTTCATCTGCTGGCTTCTCGTCTGGAAGCTCGAGTATGGATTCATCGGCGCCCCCATCTCCGTCGTAATCACCGAGAATCTGCTGCCCCTGTTCCTCTTCCTCTATGTGCGATTTATCGACGGGTCTCAGTGCTGGGGCGGGTTCAGCAAGAGGGCGTTTTCCAACTGGTGGGTCATGATCCGCCTTGCTCTGCCTGGTATGATCATGGTCGAGGCCGAGTGGTTGGCCTTTGAGATCATGACGTTGCTGGCGAGTCGCTTCGGCTCCAATGTGCTTGCGGCCCAGAGCATCCTGTCCACCTTGGCCTCCATCTCATACCAGATCCCCTTCCCGGTGTCCATAGCTGCGTCCACCCGAATCGCCAATCTAATCGGTGCCGGTCTCGTTGACGCCGCAAAAACTGCCTCCAAAGTCGTAAGTCCCCCTCTTTCCAATGCCATGTTGCAGACATTCTCAGCTAACCATGGATCGAACCATCGAAATAGGCTTTCATCACCGCCTGTCTCATCGGGTGTTTGAATCTCACCCTATTTAACTCCCTTCGATACTACTTGCCTCTGCTCCTCACAAAGGATCCAGAGGTCATCGAGCTCGTAGCCCGTGTTCTCCCAGTAGTAGCCGTGATGCAAGTGTTCGACGGAATATCAGCCGGCGCCCACGGCATCCTGCGCGGCATTGGAAGACAATCCATCGGCGGCCCGGCAAACATCATTGCCTACTACGTCATTTCTCTGCCAATCTCCCTCGGCCTGGCCTTTGGCCTTGACTGGCAGCTTCAGGGGATGTGGCTCGGTGTCACAGTCGGGTTGATAGTGTAAGTGCAGCCCCCCTTTTCTTTTCCCATCTACCTTTTAGTTTCCAACTTGCTCTCGTATATTGTCCTGACACACTTATCTAACTTCCTCTCAGTGTCTCGTTGATCGAATACACATATCTTTTGAATACAAATTGGCACTCGGCGGCGCGAGAAGCCCAATCCAGGAACGAGGCCAACTAATCTGAGTTCCATTTTATCGTCGTTTTCAACATTTATCAAGCCGGAATAGTCATATGCTTTTAGAGATTGCGGAGCAAAATATATTGGTATACTCTTTAGCCGTAATTTGGATTTAAGCTGGATTGCTACTTAACATGATAATGGTGGGAGAAAGTTGATCATGTAATGGTTAAGGGCGAGGGATCAATACAAAGTCACGGATTTGGCCCCGTACTTTAACATGGCGAATGCCAAGCCAAGAGTCTCACGCGTTCGTAAAGGATGTCTATGATGAATGCCCTTTACGATAAATTCACCAAGCCGACTCGTGACGTGCACCGTACTGGCTATTCGTAACAATAAACAACCCTAATAACTAACAATAGTACTCAACATTAATCATTTATCGACCTTCTAAGCTATCATCTGTAAATACTGTGGTCTGTATTGGAAAGTCGAGATATGGAAACACCCCAACGACCCCTGTTTTGCTGGTGACCACACTTTCCCTACCTGAACTTATTCACGGCAAACGGACGTAATGAACCCTGGGACACTTTTATGTAAACTAAACTAAAACCATCTTATTTTGGCGCTACAAGTCGAAATCCCCCTGTTTTTGTCTTTGATTTGAGAAGAAATCAGAGACGTCCCATGGTTTGCGGCTCCTAAATAGTCCTCTTCCCGCCCGCAAGAAACTCCGAGAAAGCAAAAAGATATCATCATATGGGCAATACACCTCGAACTAGAAGAAGCCAGATCTATCCTCCCCATTGCCATCTATCAACTCAACTCAGCATCGAATGAGTGCGGATCCCCTTTGGTCCCAGTTCGCTGCAATAGAAAAGGCATCAGTCAGCGCGAGTCCAATATGGTTCATTGTGGCGAAGATTACGATTTAGTGGAAAGAAAAGGGGCTCAACTTACTTATAATCAATACGGCTCAGATTCGCCAACCTCTGCGCTTCAACGCTCTGGATATCCATGTTTGAATGAAGACAAAAGACAATCCTAGCGGCAACTTGGGCTCCCAGGAACATAGATTCTTCGAAGCCATTCTTGGTCCATTCCTGAAGATACGTTGGTAGTCCAACGGTCTTGATGCTCGTTGGGGTCTGGCTGTGGAAGTGGTGTGTCGTCGTGGGCCCAGCGGCTTCCGATCCTGGCTGGGGGGTGCCGACAGCAGCAACGCCCAGAGTGCTGGCTGTAGTAGCGGCTTGCAGAAGAGGGTTCACGCCGCTTGAGGGCAGCTGATGAGGAGCACCAGTGAATGATCCTGTTGGCGTCTGAGACCCAGTGCCCGTAGGCGTGGCCATGTTGGATGGGAGTTCTGAAGTGAACATGGTAGCGGTCGAAGGAGACACCAAGTGGCGGGCATTGAGGGTCTGCAGGATGTTTTCCTTGAGCCCGCGAAGACGAGAACCGTTTCCGACAAAGACGAGGTTGTCCCAGCAGGCTGGACGCATGTACATATCATCAACCCCCTGGACAGTGCGGTAGATGGTAGTAACGATGCGGTCGATCTCGGAGCGGTCAGCAAATGTGAACCGCTCGAGCCCGATGTCGATGTCTCGGCGAACACGCTTGGGCCTATACTCAGGAGTATCATTAATCACAGCAGGTTCTGGCTGAGCTTCAGGCTTGCTCTCGGTGGCGGCTTCAGGTTGAGATTCCGTCGCAGCCTCGGGCTTGGGTTCTGCCACAGCCTCGGGTTTAGGTTCCGCCACGCCCTCAGTCTTGGGCTCTGCAGCACCTTCAGGCTTGGACTCTGCAGCGGCTTCGGGCTTCGCAGCCTCAGGGGCGGCTTCCGCCGGCGGGGCGTCAGCAGGAGCAGCTACTTTGGAATCAACATCCATAGCATCCCCAGTGGTAGTGACCGCAGATGCGGTTGCAGGTGCGGGCTGATCATCAGTGGTTTGGACGGCAGGGGCAGGTTCACTTGGCTTCTCCGCTGAGCCGTTTGTGGCCGGCTTCTCCTTGGGCTCTGGGTTCACAATTTCTTGAACCACCTCCTCATAGAAAAATGTGTTGTGCGTCCTCTTGGAGTTAGGCAGACGGGGGGCTTTGCTGGGGGCGGCATCAGCCTCCTTGTCCTTAGGCTTCCTCCCGGGCTTGCCCTTCTCCTTTTCCTTCTTGGCCAGGAACTCTCTGGTCTGACCACTGGTCACTATGCTGGCCACATCCAATACACCGTCGTCGTCTCCATTCTGTTCTCCATTCTCGGCTTCTGTAGAGTTTGTAGCTGCGGGGGGCTTCGGCGCCTCGTTGGGTTCTGGGGCTTCTACAATCTTCTCTGGTTCCGGAGCAGGCTGGGTTACGCCGGTTTCCTTAGGAGTATCAGCCAGGGATTTGGCATTTGGCGCATATGGCAGGACTTCGCAGATGGAGCTCTTCTTCAGCTGCTCAGCCATATCGCGGTTGAACTTCTTCCCCTCCAAGAGCTTCATCAGCTTCTGTGTGAAAACTTCGCCACCGCTGATCTGATTATCGAACCGAGGGGGCCCCAAGTCCAGGTGATTGACCACCCTACCGTCGTAAATCGCAGTAACATCCACCTTCTCGTAGCCGATATCGACGACCGTCATATTGGGGAACTTGAGGCCGTATTGGGTCGCAATTGCGCTATTGATCATGCACAGCGCAGGCGTCCGCGTCTTCTCGAAGATGTATTGGGCAATCGCTTCACAGTCGGGTCGCGTCCACTGAGGTGAGGCCATCAGCATGATGGGGGTGTTGTGGTACGTCGTCGTAAGCATGCTGTGGACGTGGTCGAGGAAAGCTAGGAAGGCGTCCATGTTGACAATCTGGCCACCTAGATTCATTCCCAAAATTAGTCTCCAATTGATTGACCAGTCTTTCTCAAAATTGAGGCGCTGTCCATTCTCGGGACATCATCTTGTCCCCCAAAGAACGAAGCAAGAGCTCCAGGATCCAGACCGTATGCGCGCGCCGACGTACCTTGAATAGGCCAAGTAGCTCCCTCATCCTCATCTACATCCTCCACCCACTCCTCCTTCTCAACGCCGTCAACCACCCTCTTGCGCTGGTAGGTGTAGTATGGCCTCCACTCGTCGCCGTCCTTGAACATGCGCGTGGGGAAGCGGTGCGTAGGCGGCGTCAGTTCACTGCAACCCAGCTGCGCCATGGTTGTTCGACTGCCAGGGCAGATGATCAGGATCTGCTCCTCGCGCCATTTGCCGCCTGCGCTCGCCATGGTGGTGGTGGTGGTAGTGCTGGCGGTGGTGTTGGTGCTCTTGAGGCTCCTGCCGCTGCTGTTGAACAATTTTTCCCTGACGGCGAAGAAATTGGGCGGTCTCACTCCTTCGAGAACGTTGGCGCCCTGCTCTAGCGAGTTGTGGCGGTGGTGATGCTCGAAAGTGGGCTCGGGGTTGTCGTCCTCGACGTCGTGGCGATTCTTGCGGTTGGACCTGTCGCGCCTGGTACTGCTCCGTCGCGAGGGTGTTGAATCTCTGCGCGCCCGGAGCCTGTAGCGGTGTGGCTGGTCTGGTGTGGCTGGTGTCGTGGCGGCCAAGCCAGACCTCCTCCGGATGTCTGAAGTCACGTGGCTTCCATATTGTCGTCTGTTGCCCTCATCTGAATACTGGTATTCATTCAAAAGACTGGTCTGGGGAGTGTGTTGGAAATGGGAAATTGATTTTGTTTGTCCTTTTTGGGGCGTTTTTATTGTTGCTTGTTTTGCCATTGCTTCTCTCATTGCTGTGTCGCTACTCCGGGGAAACAACGGTCACTAGAGGCCTCAGTCGACACGATAGAGTCAGGGCGAATGACGTTCTTTGATGATGAAGTTAAAAAGAAGAAAAGAAAAAGCACCGGTATGGTGAGTAAAGGAAGGAAATGAAATGATAGAAAACCTTTGCGTGATGGCCGTGAACGCGTTTGCGGGCGGGTTGTATCCGCAGCTGTTCAGCAGCTGTCACCAACTGCTCACCTTACTCTCACTTTCATCAAATGCAACTTGAGCGGTAATTTCATGGCTGTCCAGTTGACGCTTTCGTTCCAGTTTCATAATCAAATCGCACCGAGATTATGTTTCTATGGCATTTGAGGCCCCTTCTTCGTCCTATGTTTATCCCAGGCGATTATATGTAATATCCCATGATAATGCCCAAAAAAGAGATAAAAAAGAAAAACATCCATCTCATCATATCCTGCCCAACATACGACTGCAGTGTAATAGTAATTGCATCCCGTTCCCCAACCATCAAAGCATCACTAAAGTAAGTAAATAAGCAAACAATATGACCAATCCATGACGCCCGAAACCCTCATGGACATATTCATCCATGTTTCTTCATCAGGGTGGGCGAAACACCCAATATACACCATCTCCCAGTCTGGGAGGAAGAAGAGGAGTAAATGTAAATAATCATCCCCGAACGCCGAAACCCTTGTATATGACCAATGAACACCTCGCCACCCATTTTCGACCCAGAGAAATAAAATTGTAGGCGCTTGCCATGCTGCCGACAAAACGATAAATAAGATCAGAATCAGACTCGGATGCATTACCGTGGGTAAAGCGATGGCGCCTGTAAGTAAATAGGTATTTCCACCTTAGGGTGTCTAGTGTAATGTTACAGTTGATATTGATGAATCGTATGATAATCCACCCCGCCTATGAGGCAGAGACAGCGGCGACAGTCGGCTTCTCTGCTGGTAGAGAGCTCTCGTTGGTCTTCTCAGCAAGCAGTCTCTCTACCCTAGCCTCAGACTTTTTCGGCGTATCAACGACGGCTGGAGAGTCAGCCAGATACGTCTCAGGCTTCTTAGGGGTGTTGTCGTTTGCGTGTTCACCGAATGAAAATCGTTGCTCAGAAGTGGGGGTGGTATATGAAGACTCCTCGATGCTGGACCTGTCGTCGGTGACGCCTGTCACTCCGGTGTCGACCGAGAGTCGGCTCTTGCCGATCGAATCCGATTTGTCGTCCGCATCATCTAATGATCGTGCACTCTTAATGGACTCGTGGTCCTTAATCTGAGTCTCATTCTGCTCCACGCCTGAGGTCTCCAGGATTGCATCATCCTTGAGAGATTCGTGAACAGTAGCTGCTTGGGGAGACACTTCGAAAGCCTTGGGCGTCTTCAGAGAAGGCTCATCGGCCTTGGAGATGTTGATCGTAAGTCCCTCTGGCTCAGCGCTCCGCCTACGTGAAACTGCGCGCTCAGGGTCGAGAGAGGAGGTGTCCTTATCCTCGTCTTCGCCAGCCGCCAGCTCTGCATCGCTAAAGTTCTTCCGAAGAGGGCTATGGGGATAAATGCTGATTGCATCTCCGCTGATGTCGCTTCTGCTGGCTGTTGACGCTCGCGCGGGATTCCGTGTGGGCAGAGGTGGGGGTATCCTCTTGGGGATCGTCACAACATTTCCTTTCGCTTGAACAACACGAGACGCCACAACTTGTGTACGCGCAGGTTGCACAGTTGCAACCTCAAAAATCACAGGTTCTTCCTCGTCATCGTCGTCATCCTCATCCTCATCAAGCTCGTCATCATCTTCTTCCTCTACCTTCGAGCTCGGAACAGGAATATCCTTTTCAAGCTCATTCTCTTCCGCGTCTCCGTAGTTGCTAGATGCTTTCGATGCGGTGTCGAAATCGCTAGCGGCAGCATGCCGTGGGCCAAGCTTAGAAGAGTCGACTGAGGCTGCGCTCTCATCAACCAAAGGTTGCCGGATTCTATCCAATGCTGACATGTCAATAACAGTAAAATCGATCTCCTCCTCATGTTCGACATCATCTGCCGTGTTCTTCGCAATCTCAGTTGATGCTCGTTGTTGACCATTTTCACTGCGACCAGGGCTGGGGCTTGTCTCAGACGTGTTGCCGGTATCAGTTTGTGTTGCAACATCCGTCGTTTGGCTTTTCGCAGTTCGTGTCGACATCAAGCTACCACGGTTACTCCTGTTGTTGGACGTCTCTATGCTCTGGCGTTGAACCTTGGACAGAGAGCTCATACGCTGAGGATGGAAGTCAAGCTGGCTGCTGGTCGGCCGCGCACGCGAGCCTGCTTCTCGGATTTCCATCCCGGCCATTTCTAGGGCAAGAATGCCAAACGGATCAGGATCTTCTGAGTTGCGTAAGCCGAAGGCACGGGGAGCTGGAGATAGCGGCGCCGCCGAGAATTTTGGTGATACTATAATCGCATCTCCCGGTGCTGGCTCGGCGGCAATTTTCCCAATCATTGAGGCATCGAAATCTGTCCGACCCTCCGCCATCTTGATCACCTCGAATAGTGGTTGAGTCTCTTCCACATACCGGGCCACGGCACCGGAGAGAACCTCCATTTGCGACACCGCGGATCCATAGAAACGCTCGTTTTCATTGGCTCGCTCTGTGAGAATAGAGCCGTGCAGGTTTACCTTCTGCTCCTGGCCCCGAGCCTTCATGTAGGTCATGACTGTGTTGCCCAGGTCTCGCACGTTGATCTCCATGTCGCGAGCCTCCATTGAAACAGAGGCACCGTATGCAAGACCAACATCTTCACCCAGAGTGACCTTGGGGCGGGTCATGGATTCGAGAGCGGCGAGACTGTTGACCACCAAGACGCAATCATACACGTCGACTCCGATGATAAAGCTGAGGGTGGGCGTATGAAGCATGATACCAGACGGTGGTGACCAGGTCCCGTCTGATTTTCTCGCTATTAAGATTCCAGAACCACCGGAGCCAGTCATCCACAAGCCATTGCGCATGCAGGAGAATACGGCGATACCGGCTGCATTCTGAATGATTTGTTTCGGAATCTTCTTATAGATCTTGACGGGCGTTTTGGGTGGTTCATCGTTCGCGGGTGAGACTACGGGGCTAGATTCGTCGTCGATGGGGCCGAGATATCCATCGGCTGGGTACAAACTATGTTAGCCAGGGGAACAGCGACAATAACGGTGAACCAAGCCAATTTGGAGGCCGAGGACGGGGGGCTAGGGGGAATACGAGGTGTGGCGATGCATACCGCAAAATGACTTGATAATCCGAGCAGCCTTTTCGCATTCGAGGTCAAGACTGGTGGGCCAGAAGGTTTCGCCGTGGACGCGGGTGGTGCTCCTGACGCTGAGACTGCTGTTTCTATTGGCGGCGGCTGTGTTGATCTTGGACAAGCTGTTCGTCTTGGTACTGGTACTGGATCGCTTAGACCATCCCCAGAATCCGCCTCCTCCAGCGGCACTGCTGGTGCTGCTGGCGCTGGCGCTGGTCACTCTCTGGGGCGAAGTGACTGTGTCGGCGGCATCGGTCGAGACAATGGCAGATCCCGAGGAGGTCCTCTTCTCCCACGAGGGTAAAAGAGAGGAGACACGCTGCATGATTGCGACGGTCTATTCGAAAGAATGGAAAACCTCTCCGTCGTCGCCGTCGTCGCCAGGCGGGGTACGACAGAGAGGAAGAAAAGGATATCGGGGCCTTGGGCGGGAGGTGCTTAACTGGACTGGCCAGCAAGCCGTCGTGGCGGTGATGACGAAGGTCAAGGTCAAGGTCGAAGTCGAGGCAGTGGCAGGCGCTGCGACTGGGGGGGGTGCGGGCTGCATATGGTCTTGTTGATCGCTGTTGGCCCGGGCTGGTCTCGACGATAGGTACGTAATTGATTTGCCGGGCTCCAGCAGAAGCACGGAGCAGAACAGCAGCAGTAATATAAGGTTCCAGGACCTTCCTGCCAGGTATGATTAAGGGATCTTATGCTGCGGAACTGGGCACAGCACCACTTGGAGCCGAGTGGATTCTCCCGGGGGGAGCCCAGTGGTGGAGCTGAGGGGGCCTGGAGGGACAATCCGCTGTTCGTCAAGAGCTATGTGAGATTGGGCCCGCAGCCGTCTGCCTGGGTAAGGTATTGAGGTTCCAGAGCCAGATGGCCGGCGTGTATGGAGGTGCCAGTGAGGCAGGGCGAGCAATGAGAGCCGGGCCAAGAGTGATGGCAGCAGAGCAGCATGTAAGATGGAAGGCGAAAAGTAAGTACAGAGCATCGGCCGCTGGAGATGGGGTTACTATTGGCGAGCAGGTCTGGCCCCGGGGACCCAGAACAGGGCGGTGCAGGTGTCGGTAGTGTGTGTATGTACTTGGGCTAGTGCAGCGCAGTGTAGATGGAGGCCCTCAATCCAGTAAGTCGTGGAACAAGGGGGCAGGGGGAGGAGATGCACTTCTAACGGCCAAAGCCGCCCGGTAATAATAATAACTCTGACCTGGTCTGGCCTGGCCTGGAGTCCGCGGATGGCACGGTGAGGTGGATTGGTAGGTATGATATGGTCAGTTCTGGTCTGGTATGAAACCACGGGAAGAAGTCAGGATTTTCCCCCCACCACGAAACGAGGAGCGACGACGTCAACGCTGTGTGCCGGGCGGGATGGGTGTCCCTGACGGGCAATAAGTATGTTAAATGCATTTCAAGACAGGCTTTTGGGCTGGGGGGTTGCACGGCAGGACGGGTCCATGTCATGGTGCCAACCATTCTTGGCCCCTGCTTCCCACCAAACCTACTACACATCATGTATGGACGGACGGCTAGTCATTCGTTGCCATTGCGAGGACGGATGACATTTGTCACCGGCATCTCGCGCAGCAGGTCGTGCTAGCCGATCGATGGAGCACGAGAGAGAGTTTGGGGAGGGGCCCGTGCCGCCAGTCCAACACACACACAACCCGTTAAGTTAGTTGACAGACAAGGATCATCCCATCTGCCTTCAATAGTCTGCCTGGGAAGCTGTCTAGCAATTTACCTCGCATCCCCCATCGTCGTCTCGCTCTGCGGATCATGTAGTAGTGATGTGCTCCTTCCAGACGCAGATATGGGGAATGGGAAAAAGAGGGTCGACAAATGAGCCATCTATTATCCATCATCTTGCATACGCACTGCGCCTGATGGTCTCATCACATCCTTAGACAACTGTGGGCGGGCAGGCAAACACTAATCGAGGCCCCTCCACACTCAGTGCCACTTGCAACATGATATCGCTACGGTCTACCAAGTAAGGTCAGCATCAGAAAGCTCGCTCGATACAGCCAGCGTGGTACTATGCTCCATGTTTGCCACGAGCGACCTGGGGGCCGTGAAAATACTAGCGACGAACGTGACCTGGCCTGGCCCTGGGTGTCAAGCTACTACCTAGGCAGGCAACCGGAGTGCCGGATCAAGCCAAGCTGAGCCGTTGAGGGAGAGAGTAGAGACGAGAAAAAAAGCAACTTCCGCATGAGCCGTTCTCGTTCACCTCGCCTTCCGAAGACGGCGTCCCCCGAACCATCGCGCTGAAGAGGGTTTGGTCAAGATGACCAAAAATCCCAGCAACTTAGCTGCTAACTGCTTCTTCCACCTCTGTGTGATTGATGTGCGAGACGGCATAATCGAGGCCCCAATCCCACTCCCTCCCTTCCTCCCTCCCTCCGTCCTTCTTCTCTGCTCAATCCTACCCGCTGCCCTCCTCGACCCCCTCCCCCTACATACTGTAGGCAGTAGGCGATGCCACTTGAAGTCGCACGCAGGAGAGCCGTCTATCCTAAATTGGCAATCAAATGCAGGGGCAGACAGGTTTTCCAGGCACACAGCGCTTGGGGCGATCTGGGATAGATGCGTGTGGGCACCGTCGCTGCACATGCGTCCGCCCAAGTAGGCACAAATTTAATGATTATTGATGGAGCTAGCAAAGTCACTCCTTCATGTGGCTCAAATTAATGCCATTATACGGGTGCTACGGGCATAGTATACACCATGTGGCGTTTAGCTAAGGCATCCGACCCCTGCAACCAGAGAGAGCTCTATCAATAATCAACGTCTGAAGTCTAACGGACACCAACATGGACGTTCGAGCTGGGCATGAGACGAACAGATGGCTCCAACTCAGCTTAAAAAAGCGGATGATCGCCCAGGCTACATGATATGATGGTACAGCATTGGCTGACTCGCAGCAAGGCTTCTTCTCTCAACCTGCCACACTCACATCGAATCCGACAGAATACGACCCTGTTTGGATATGCAAAATTAGCACCACATCACCCTCCCTCTCTGTTCCTGATCCCGTTGCGTACATTCCTAGCCTAGCCTTGGGTCTCTCTGCCACTTAGATCGTTTCTCCCTCCCCCTTGCTCCCCTAGAGTTGCATGCTTTTTCCATTCGCAACCGTCCAACACTGGTGAAAGTTCATCCTTACATTCCATCCGAAACAAATGCCAAGCCTTCCTCTTCTTCCTCTGACCACGCACATGGACTCCTTGGCGATAGCGGATCAAGAGCCCCTGCATACGCCAGAGCCTCCAGCCGCTGCCGACCAATCCATACTGTCCGGCAAGGATTCCCTCATATCCACACACTAACACGTATGCTCCCTCACATAACGATAATACACATGTCCATAAACACTTCACTATCATGCATCTCCATTCGCGCCCAACGCTGGATTACCAAATGCAGCATAATTCTTGGAGAGGGCAAACCCCATCCCTAACTGAAGCTTGCAAGCCAGAACACGTATCCCTCCATCGTGATCATACCATCGCCAGGCGTCGAAACACCAGCAGCACAAAGAATCTTCCCGTCCCTCCATTCCTCTCTTGGAGCTAATCAAATAAGAAATGGGTTTGAGACACCCGTCTTTGTTCTAAAGATGCAGACATCTCCAATTGCTGCGCAAAAGAGCCCTGCAGTAATCAATGACCTATGCTAATCTGGCAAGCCCGTTGGTCCTGTCTCACTCTCCAATATAAATCGCCTTCTTTAGTCTTCGCGCGTCCGCGCTCAGACCTCACACATGCCAGTCGGTGAGCTTCTTCTTCTCTCTTGGACTTGGCTTCCGACGCGGGTCTTACATGTGCTCCTCTTGCTTTTTTTTTTCCGCCCTCGCCCCTCCTCCACTGGCCCCAAAAAGCCCCCCTCTCGATGTCTCTCTTTCTCTCCCCTCGTGTTAGACGAGATGCTACTTGGGACCTGGTCGTGACCGGTGGGACTAACACATATTCGCCAGCGCGTCTCACCGTGCCCAACGTGCTCGCTCGACAGAGGGAACGCCGTTCTCCCCGTCCCGGATGTCTCACAATGATTTCTCCTCCGTCCCGTCGTGAGGGAGAAATGGCCCAGGCATATCACGATCAGCATGATTCATGTACTACAAGATTAGATACTAATCCACAGATGGGAGGAACTCGACAAAAGGGCGGCATCGCGCAGTCGTGCATATGACATGTCGACCATTCGGGCATCCAGGATTTCCGCCATTTGGATCATCTCCTCCCAGAGGGTCAAAGCCCACCTCAGCCCCAAGCCAAATATGCGGGCCATGAAATAGTCCAAGCGGTGGCGTTGCTGATGAGTGACTGTCGTTCCCTCTTTCGTCTCTCTCATTCCCTATGCGTATGAGGATAACCCCCTTTCGAGTTTCCCCAGCTGTGCTCTCTGCCCAAATTGGCAACCTCAGGGAGAGGTTCGGCGCGAGAGAGAAAAAGCAATGCCCACAGAGACACGGGCTACCTTCTTTCCCTTCTGGATGCCTTCTCTGCTGCAGGTCTCATCCTTCGAGGATGCATGTCTCACTCCGCCCCCGACCTGTGTGATCTATGCCTGCGTCAATGCCCACCTGTCAATGTCGTGTCACTCGTGCAGTAAATCCATTCCCGCGCCATCGTTTTGCGCCCCGTTGCCCGTCATTGCGCGACTCGTGAGGGATTCAAGTAGGTGACCGGGGGAACCTAATGGAAGATTTAGCTAGAAATAGACTACTTTCTACATTAAATAGAGAAATTTAGTAGTATAAAATGAAATAAGGTGACAGCATATACCGTATTGTTTCTGAGGCATGTATTATTAGCACTTAATAGTCTGACAATACCAGTTGCAGGCTCGAAAATAAGCAGCTTAATGTTTGAGTGTCTCAATTTCAATGTCACCCACTTGGGAGTCTAATATCAGGTTTTTGGGTTTCCTCTGGCCCCGTAGAAACAAACAGGATAGGCTCTGTCTCTGAAGATAGCAGTAGACACAAGTTGTGATTAATGATTCTCGATAATCCGTCCAGTATTTTCATGAACATCGATATGCAAAATACATCATTTTGCCATTGACCTTGTGCAAGGAAAGAAAAAGAGAAACCTTTGCTCTATGTCCAATATAGAGCCCGTCGTATCTATTGTTGCTTTTCATCTTGCTGTTACTATCAACGCATCTCTGCGCATCGATCTAGAGTTTCGATCCCGTAGTTAGTCCATCAGCCAGCCAAATCATTCAGAAATCCAGTACGAAACCCATCCTAAACTAAGAAAACCCATTAACACAAGTCTTGATGTCTCTCCTGCCCGCCTAACATCCAACAATCCGTCTCCTACTTACTCTCCTACACCAGACTCTCCATCTTACCCATCAACATCTCCAAAGCTGCCTCCCTCGCCTCATCATTCTCATCCTTAAGATTAGCCATTTCAACCTTCAGATCCTTCAAACAGGTCAACGCCCTCTTCGCAGGCACGGACTCAAGACCAACCAAGTCATCCCCGGTCAGGAGAAATCCATCAACCTGCAGCCTCTCCAACGGCACATCCAGCACCCACAACGAGCGCACAAACTCCCGCTGGACCTCCCTGGCGCCATCCCTCTGCAGCCTCACCGACTCGTCCGGGTCAAACACCATCCCCACGTCCTCGTTCCACGGGCACTCCATCCAAGTCAGCGTCAGGCTCCTGAGGTTCGGCAACCCCCCCAGCGCCCGGCCCACAAGCTCGACCGGGAACGGCAGGCACAGCGTCCTCGTCGTGGCCACCGCCCTGACCCTCACCTCCGGCGCCGCCTGCTCCGGCCACCGCCCCTGCCGCCCCATGGTGCTGAGGATCCGCCTGGCCGTCCTCTGCGACTCCTGGTAGTCCGTCCATATGTTGATGAGCCGCTCCGTGCGCACCTCCGGCTCGAAGCCGAACATGTGGGAGAAGGAGTCGTGGTACGCCCGGTACTCGTCCATCGCGGCGAACACAAACTTGACGTCGCGGATCCGCGCGCCGCACTCGGGCCTCGAGCTGAGGCTGTGCAGCCGCGCCATGTCCCTGCGCCAGGGCAGCCCGGAGAAGCTCGGCTGCGAGAGGAACGGCCGGGTCTCCCGCGCCAGGTGCCGGCTCGCCAGTCTGAGGTTCTTGAAGTCGCTCAGGTTGAGCAGCTCGACTATGACGCTGAAGAGTTCGGCAGGCAGGCAACCCAGCGATGGGGCCGCTGGGGCCGAAGCCATGCTGCTGTCTGGTGCGTCCGCAACGGTATTCATTTTCTACGTCTTCTTAATGAAAGGGGCGCTGCACAGGATGAATAACGGCCGGGAGTTATAATATTAACTCAATAGTGACGGTAGTTGGCCTATCCGTCGTTCCCCACGTTGCAGATGGCAGTTATTCTTGTATTCACCAATCAGCACAAGCCTAAAGTGGGCCAGCTTGAAGTTCATCAGGGTCTATTTTCATTTTCTTTTAACATAAGAGCTCGTTCGCCCAACCCGACTTGTCGGCCGCTCAACCCGTCGGAAAGACAGGCTATGTAGCTCTGTTCACATTCTAAACTTTCGCAATATCATACACGGCAGCCTCGCCTTCGAATAAATCAACAATTGTCCCACCATCTTCAGCAATGTTTCGGTACGTCACTAAACACTCTAACTATAACCCTCCAGCTCGCTGACCGAAGGCGGTTCTTCTTCCACTTTAGGGCGTATAAGAATCTTTCACCAAAGACCCGGATGGGCGTGGGTGCTGCAGTCATCGCATGGGGCGGCGCGGGCCTCTACTTGTCAGACCACGCTGAGAAGCGATTCGGCTACACCCCGACAGAAAAGGATCAGGAAGAACTTCGCAAGATGACGCCTCGCATCACCACAGTGGATAGGAATGAGAATCGCTGAGCCAAACCAATCAATCCTGCACCAGAAGAGCAACAAACCATGTATGTTTACTGCAAGTATTAAGCAATACACTGGTCTATCTTAATGTTACACGGAGCTACGAAATCTCAATCACATCACGCGGAGACGGGATCAAAACATACAATACAATACAGCTAGATAGTTTCAATTCATCTCAAACAAACACACGCAAAACCCATCGTCAGACGTCGGTAGCATTACCCATGAAACTATGCTGGTCACAGTAAACTGCGAAAGATAAGGCACAAGAGCTTCATTAGGTACCTTCATCAAAACCCAGCCAGTCGTCAAAGTCGTCATGATCCACCTTCAGACCACCGCAGCCGATAAAATCCCCTGTCTATCTTGATTTGAAAGTCTAATGCAATCTCAACTCCGCTTTCCGTCTATCTTCTCCAAATGCAGTGCGAAGAAACAAAACAAGAAAAAAACTAAACCGCCGCCGGTGCCTTTTTTTATGCATGAGAAGAGCGAAATGCGTGCTTCGCTTTTCCGGGTCATTGACATGTAATGTACCACCCCCCTCCTAGAGCCCCGGTTTTGAGCATAGCAGAGAAACGAAGCAACTTCAAAACAAACAAACAAGCAAACAAATGAAGAGAAAAAGAACATCCTCGTTCGTGACCGAATGCAACGCCTCTGAATGCAACCACCTCCAGTGCTTTTTGATGAATCGAGACAATGCTAGCCGCCCAATGTACCAAGGTGGCCATAACAGACACCATTCAAGCGTTCCCAAATTCCCAATCAAGGGAGTTTCGAGGAGCGTTCCACGCCGGAAGAGGATCCACTGATCCCTTCCCGACTCTCATGTAATCCTTTCTTTTTATATTTTTTTTTGCCTTTCACAAGGTTTCCGTGTTTGTCGTTCCATGGGTGAGAACAACAGTCGCCAAATATCCAGCGCCAATTTACCGACGCCACATCTCAATGACTGAGTTGAGTCTTGAACTTCAAAAGCCGGCAGAACCAAGAAAACCAGGCCTAGCCACAACGTAGGGACATCGAGGTAAGGAGGCCCAGCCATGCAAAAGCCGGCAACGAACCCCACCTGGCTCCGAGTGTGATCTTGCGGGGGCCCGCAAACCCTCCCTGGCGGGGCGGCCCAGTAAGCCTTTGGCTAAACAATTCGGCAATCGATAAAACTCAGTAATGCAAGAGCGCAAGGAGCATAGCGGATGGAGTATAAGGAGAAATGCATCCGGCGGTACTATACGAACTCGTATGGTAGAGACAGAACAAATTCAAACGTATTCAGGGTTGTGATTTTTTGGGGATTATGAATATTGGAAGGTATTCCCATTGTTGAGGAATGAGGACACGCCAGAGCTAGAGTCTGCTTTGCCATGGCTCGCTAAATTCAGGCCCTACCTTGATTGCGGTCTACAACAGCAACAAAAAACTGTTAGCGGACCAGGCAGATAGAATAAATTTTAGTCGATTTACGCACCAGGCTGGAACATCTGAGACCAATCAAGGCCGGATTGTTGGCCAGAGTTAGAGTTGCCGTACATGGGTACACCGTTCTGGGTGGGGGGCATGCTGTAACCTGACATCTGCTGGCCCATGTCATTGCTTCCGTAGGGTTGAGAAGCGCCCATAGGGGCCATGGTCCTCCTGTCAGCGCCATTGCCATTATCAAGGCGGCTGATGCTGCCGGATCGCGACAGCTGGTTTTGGTCATTAGCCAAGTTGTTCATGCCGTCGGAAACGGGAACCATTCCAAAGGGGTGGCCCATGCCGTCCTGGGGCATGTTGTTCAGCCCGTTAAGCTGCTGGAGATCTCCCTCGTTGCCAAGAGGAGGGCCCTTCTGGGCCTGGGCATTCTTCTTGACGTGGGCCTGGGGGTGGGACAGATGGCTGACACCTGTGGGGTTACCCCGGCGAATGGAGCACTTTTGGAAATGGCGCTTCAAGATATCACTTCGCGAGAACGTGTCGCGGCAGAGCACGCACATGTACGGGCGGTCACCAGTGTCTGTTTGCGAGTTAGCGCTAATCCAGTCGCGTGGTGCTTTTGAGGGGTTTACTTACGGCGAAGGAGATGACGCTTCAAGTGCTTGGCATGCAAGTAGGTCTTTGTACAGTGAGGGCAAGGAAACTTTCCGTCGGCATCCTTCACAGGAATGACCGTGCTCTTAGCACCGGTGGTTCCTGCTGCAGGAGCTGCGGGCCGGCCTGGCGCACTGGGCAAGATGCCGCGACGACCCTGTGAGCCAACAACGTGTGTTGGCTGCTCGCTCTCAGGAAGAACGCCACCGGGCTGCATCATCGGAGGGCCGTAGGGCGACGGGGCGCCTGGCTGCTGCGACATAATACCACCGGGAGGCATTGGGCGGAGAACCGGGGGTCCGCGATTTCCAGTGGCAGGCGCAATGGGTTGCGGGCCAGACGACGCGGTCGTCGACTGCGGCATCATGGGAGCGGAGGTAGCATATCCTTGAGGGGGGGGGTACTGGCTCTGCTGGGTCATGGAATAGATGCCACGACTGCTCGTCGGCTGCGACGTTTGCTGATAGCTCGGCAGGTTCTGCGAGTTGGGCGTGTTGGGCGTGCCCGGCGTCCGCGGTGTGTGCGGGTTGCTTCCGTAGAGAGGCTGCATGGCTGAGGCAGGCGGCTGCAGAGGAGGGAGGGTTTGAGGCAGAGGAGAGCCCGATTGAAGCTGGTGGGGAGAAATCGCGGTTGGAGATGGATACGTCTGGCCGGAGGAAGTCGCGTTTATACCATTGGGGTATTGGGGGCCGTCCATAATCTTGTATAGAGAGACGCGGCGCGAGCGTGTAGTTCGGAGCGGAGGCGGTGGGCCAAACAAGGGGAAAAGAGTACTACTAGGACTCGTCGAGCGATCGAGATTGACCGTCAGAGAAGCCTGGAAAACAATTGATTTCGAGGCTTGAACGAAGTCGCACTGAAAGGTGACGCGCACTTGACAGTAGGAGCACGAGAGAGAAGGCTGGTGAGACTGGCGAGTGGATGCAACAAAGCGTCAAAGTCCCAATGAGGTGGATGAGGCTCGTGGCAGGTCCCTCTTGGTGGTGGTGTTGGGGGGGAGGCTTTGAGGTGGAGAAACGGGTCTGGAAGCTTTTTATTTCTTCTGTCCGACAGAGGGGGCGCGAAGAACCTAAGCCTGGTCGCCGGCGCTCACGGGTACGTATCTGGGTAAGAAAAAGCCGGAGGGTGGTGGGATGCACGCAGGGCCGTTAAGATGGTGGCAGCTGGGCAATGGTCGAAGGTGGCAAGTGGGCCTTTCGGGTGTTGTTGAGAACCACAAAAAGAATGGGTTTTGATGGAGACCCGGTTGCAAGAGTCATGTAAAAGAAATGTCAGATGGATAGCGCAGAGCAAGGAACAATTTTTTTCCCTTCGCTCGAACTTCGGACAACCGCGACGGGGCAATCAGGACTGCTTTTGGGACGGGCAGTTGGGCGCCGAGGAGAATGATGGTGGAGGAACAGTAAAATTCGAGAGGAGGAAAAGTTTGGGAGGAGGAGAGAAGGGGGAAAAAAAACTAGGAGTGAGCGCAGCTGACGACGGTGCCTGCCCGCTGCAAAAATGGAAGTGCGTAGCGCACCAAACTTGCTCTCTCTCGCGTGCACACACACTCGCACTCACACACCACTACAGACATTCTACACACCTACATAACACACACACGTAAGGGCAAATTGCCGAAAAAAATACGGGCAGAGCTAGAAAGAGAGCAGTTGGCGTACTAAGTTCGTCGGCGGCAGGCAGGCAGAGGTACCTCGCCAGTACCGGTACTTCCGAGTCACGCGCATTAGTGAACTGAGAAATTCCTCACTCATGGCCCATGGCTACCTAGCAAACAAGGTCCCAGTAGTGCCCACTAGTGCAGGGTACTCCATACCTGGGTCACCCCTGCCAATTGACTTGTCTTCTCACCCGCTAGTACGTACCTGTAGTATGTACTTTTTTTTTTGGTCAGGTGGCATGAAGAGCAGCTTGAGACAAGAGCTTTTTCTCATGTAATATTAGCACCGGAAGGGGAAATTGCTGAGTAAAGAGGAATCGTGTCCCTTTTGGCCGCCTCCTGTGACGCACGACTCGAGGAGGCAAAGGACAGGAGCCGAAAGCAATCCGCTAGGCAAGCTGTAGAGGTTGGCTGCTAACACCGATAAGACACTGATCCCTCGGCCGAGCACACACCAAACTTTCGAGGAGATTTTTATCCAACTCCTCCTCCTGGGATTGGTCATCGTGAACATGCCCTAGCTACCCCTGCAAGCAACGTCAAATTTTCTTGGCACTGGCGGTCGCTGCACCTCACCTCATGCCTGGTCGTACCGTGGGGGCAGAGAGGGACATTCAGGGCCGCCGATATTACCTTACCTCTCGGATGGGAAAGGTCCCGCTCGCTCATCACTACTCCAACCTAGTAATAGCTTCACGATGCTTGTTGCTCGAGTTCTGTTGCTCGGACTTGGTTGCCCCCGCCCGTCAAGTTTCCCCCAGCCTACATATTTAGGTACCTACGTGGGAAAATGAGATGCGATCTGTCTTTAGAGGGGCGCATATGCGCCTTCAGAGCTGAAAGTAAAAAGTGAGAGCGTCCATGTACCCTTAATAACCGCGGCAAAAGGAAGTTCATTGTTGGCGACTGCACGGTGCCAAGACATACGACCTATTGTGTATACGAGTAGGGTCGAATCACGGTTCGCATGCAAGGACATGACCTCATAAACCGCTGTATATCCGTGATGAGGGACTTTATGGGGGGTTTCCTTGAACAGCGATGTCTCGTGAAACAAGCAACACGCCTTAGCATGATCTACCAGCCTCTTGATTGCGGCGAACACGTCCTGGCGCATAAATAGATGATTTTATAACTCATAGCCAACAGCTAGCGCATTCCTTTTTCCCAAGCTGTAGTAAGACACGCAGCTGGGCGTGAATTCTTGGGCTTCGAACTGCTTCCCTGCGGTCAACGGCTTATGATTGGTAATTATGTGCCCAATTGC